TATTATTATAGAAATCGCTACGCACTCATTATTAGTGTAATCAGATAATATTGTCAGTGCTATGTATTTAAAATTTTTCTACAAAAACATTATTATCGTTAACGAATTCTTCAATTTTATAGTAAGCTTTTTTGCAAAGGAAGTGTTTCAAGTCTGTAAGGACTAAACGTGAGAGCTATATATTCGTAACATAAATATCATCTATTATGTACCACTTTTATAACAAAAAATAATCTATGTACACCATGTTCTTATATATAAACTATCTGTTCCCGCGACTTCGTCCGCGTGGAGTTTAACTTCATGTTTCTAAAATAAAAGTAGCCTAAGTTACTCCTTATTACGTTAGCTACATACCAATAAAAGTCCCGTCAAAATCGGTCCAGCCATTTCAGAGATTAGCCGGAACAAACAGACAGACAGACAAAAATTGTAAAAAATATTATTTTGGTGCATGTACCGTATTTATATTCATATGCATGTAGTGAAAAAACGGTTATTTCAATGTTACATACAGACACTCGCAATTTTATCATCATCGTCATCATCGCAGCCCGGAAGATGTCCACCGCTGGACATAGGCCTCCCCCAAAGATCTCCACGACGATCGGTCCTGCGCTGCTCGCATCCAATGCCTTCCAGCGATCTTGACCAGATCGTGGGTCCACTTTGCTATAGGCCTTCCCACGCTGCGTCTTCGGTCTTCATTTTATTTATATGTATAGATAATAATAAAGTTCAACTAGAAATATCCTGGTATTAAATACAGTAATTGTAATAAAATTGTTTCTATAGTTAAAACGAAACTTGTTAACAATAACTATTAAATCATTACTCAGGTATTGTGCACGCACAATGATAATTCGCTTATCATAAATTATTTTTTAATGTTACCTCTAATTTACGCCACTTCTCTATAAATTATCTAAATGTCTCATTAATGTACTTGATAGACAACTTCGTTCTCTCCATCATTATCATTATATAGTATAAAACAAAGTCGCTGTCGCTGTCTGTCCCTATGTATGCTCAAATCTTTAAAACTACGCAACGGATTTTGAAGCGGTTTTTTTAATAGATAGAGTGATTCAAACAGAAGGATTATATGTATAATTAGCTTTTGCCCGCGGCTTCGCTCGTGTTAGGGGTGGAATTTATCATAATCCTTTCTTAAGGGACGCCTACGTCATAGTAGATTTATGCATGCAAAGTCTCAGTCCGATCGGTTTAAAATTGACAAACTTTCATCCCCTATTTTATCCCCTTGGGGGTCGAATTAATCAAAATCCTTTCTTGGCGGATGCCTACGTCATAACATCTACCTGCATGCCAAATTTCAGCCCGATCCGTCCAGTGGTTTGGGCTGTGCGTTGATAGATCACTATGTCAGTCACCTTTGAGTTATATATATTTATATAGATATACATGTACACTCATGCAAACTCGTGGCAAGAGTAAATGTATAAAATCAAATCAAAATATCTTTATTCATGTAGGTCTATTACAGACTCTTATGATTTTCTTTTCAAATGAGGTTGTATTATTACTATTACACATGTAGATTAATTTTTACATTAAATTAAGGAGATTGTATTGACCAACTGTTTGACTTATATATGCTATTGCATTTTTGTAAAAAGGAACTAATTGAATCAGTACACGTACCCCGATATAAATATACTTAACTAGTCTTAACTGGTTTCACCCGCGTAAAATTATAGCCTATATGTTATTCTGATATAACTACATTACAAATTACATACAATATATACATACAATTAAGAATAGAATTTAGAATAGAATTTTTTTATTAACTCGTTTTTACAGTAATAACTTAAGAAATACAAGAATAATTTACACATTAAAAAACGGAGTCAATGTGGACCACAACTCAGCATAATGCTGGAAATAGTTTCCAGCGCTGATTTTCAGTTGGGCCCTCAGTACGGACGCGCAAATATTACAATTAAAAAATACGTATACATTAACTTAATAAATCAGATACTATGCAATTAAAATAAAAATAATAATATCAAGAGAAAAGTATATAAATAATAAAAAGTAAAATTATATATTATTAATCTTAAATAATAATCCTAAAAACATTATATACGTAATGGATAAAAGAAAAAATAAACAATTACAAAGAAATAAAATTAAAAAAAAATATATATATACCCACAGTGAAAAAATATATATATACCCACAATTAGTAAAGTTTCATCAAAATCCGTTCAGTAGTTTTGCGTAAAAGAGTAACAAACATCCATTCATCCATAAATATCTTTAACTAGCCTTCCTCGCCTGAAATTTATAGCCTATATATTATTCTGATGTAGCTATATTACTGTAAAGTTTCATCAAAATCCGTTCAGTAGTTTTGCGTGAAAGAGTAACAAACATCCATCCATCCATAAATATCTTTAAATAGCCTTCCTCGCCTGAAATTTATAGCCTATATATTATTCTGATGTACCTATATTACTGTAAAGTTTCATCAAAATCCGTTCAGTAGTTTTGCGTGAAAGAGTAACAAACATCCATCCATCCATAAATATCTTTAAATAGCCTTCCTCGCCTGAAATTTATAGCCTATATATTATTCTGATGTAGCTATATTACTGTAAAGTTTCATCAAAATCCGTTCAGTAGTTTTACGTGAAAGAGTAACAAACATCCATCCATCCATCCATAAATATCTTTAACTAGACTTCCTCGCCTGAAATTTATAGCCTATATATTATTCTGATGTAGCTATATTACTGTAAAGTTTCATCAAAATCCGTTCAGTAGTTTTGCGTGAAAGAGTAACAAACATCCATCCATCCATAAATATCTTTAAATAGCCTTCACCCGCGTGAAATTTATAGCCTATATATTATTCTGATGTAGCTATATTACTGTAAAGTTTCATCAAAATCCGTTCAGTAGTTTTGCGTGAAAGAGTAACAAACATCCATCCATCCATAAATATCTTTAAATAGCCTTCACCCGCGTGAAATTTATAGCCTATATATTATTCTGATGTAGCTATATTACTGTAAAGTTTCGTCAAAATCCGTTCAGTAGTTTTGCGTAAAAGAGTAACAAACTCACACTCACAAATTATTGCTTTAAAAATATTCATGAACTTATGCAAGTTAACAAAGATATTTATATAGATGGTATATAGATAGATAGACAATTTATTTATTGCCAACATTATAAAATAAATAAAACAAGATATAATAAATAAAATAATGAGAAATTAAGAAATTAAAATTAACATACAAAGTTGGTAATATGAGCTGTCTCAGCTGTTGCCAATATAAGTACAACCCTCAATGATGAAAAGAATAGAAATTCATTCAAATAAACTTGCATTGTAGCACTTTTTAATAGTCATCACATTTTTTTTTTCAATCTACCGCCATTCGGAATGCTTTCTCGAAACTCAGACGAAGTTGCAGGCAACAGCTAGTATGTATATAAAATAACGTCGATGTTCTGTGCGTGACGTTCCAAATTTGAATTTTTATAATTTTTTTTTAAATATAATATAATCATATTTACTGAGCAAAGCCTATTACTCACTAAACGATTACTTGAATGACGAGCGTGCATGGCAATAGTTGTTCATGCACGGGATTTTCATTTAATGTTAGACATAGACACCTATATAAATATATATGTATGTATATATATATATATATATATATATATATATATATAGTAAATAAACTGGCTTTAAAAAAAAAGTTATTCAATTGAGTTTCTTGCCAGTTCTTCTCAATTGGATCTATATACCGAACTAGACGGTAGGGAAAAAAAATTATAATGTAAAAACATAACGTTCATAAGCAACTAAATGATCCTATATGAATAGACGATTTTTGAATTTGAATTTGAATTTGAATTTGAATTTGAAATATATTAAAAAGAGCAACACACAAGTTTCTTGCTCGTTCTTCTTATGATGAATCTGCATTCCGAATGAGTGGTAGAATCAAAATATGACTATTCAAAAGTGCTTGTAATGAGTTTATTTGAATAAAGATTATTTCTATTTCTATTTCTATTTCTATTAAATGGCTATTTGCGATCGCAAAAACTTTACATTTTTAAGTAGAAGTGTGCGAATATAAACTACCAATTAGCACTAATTAAATACCACTTTTCAAAAATTTCGTCTCCCTCAAGATTTTATTAACTGTTAAAAAGGATTTTGTGTGTATGTGTATTTTTTTAAACAAGCATGCTGCCGGTCCATTGATGGTAAGTGGTAACTGTCGCCTGTGTACATGAACAGTGCTACAGGCATCACATTATCATATGCACTCTCACCCGTTGCTGTTCCAGAGGACTATCATGCCCTCTTATTATTTCATCAAAATCGGTCAAGCCGTTTCGGAGGAGTATAAACATAAAACACGAGAATTTTATATACATACTAGCTGCAATCACGTCTTCGTCCGCGTGGAATTTAACTTTATTTTTCTAAAGTGAAATAAAATTTCTAAAATTAAAGTAGCCTAAGTTACTCCTTATTACATCAGCTACCTGACAAAAAAGTCCCGTCGAAATCAGTCCAGCCATTTCAGAGATTAGCCGGAACAAACATGTCTGTTTGTTCCGGCTAATCTCTGAAACAAACAGACAAAAATTGTAAAAAATGTTATTATTTTAGTGTACGAGTATGTACCGTATTTATATTCATGTGTATGTACTAAAAAACTGTTATTTCAATATTACAAACAGACACTCCAATTTTATTTATATGTATAGATTTAAATTATGTTGGATAGATATATATATATATAGATCTTGTCTGTTGACATGATGTATATATTACAGACGAAAGTGAACTGACATTTGCAAGTATTATATTGAAGGTATCCCATAAAATACATTACATTATATATTTAAAAAAAAAAGACATAATTATATCAATAATTTTATTTTCATTAAACACAATAAATACAAAACCTAACATAAATATACCGTGTTGATTTCATTTAAATTCTGGCTCAAGATCTAATAAATAATATATAGAACATATAAATTTACAATTGGTTTATTCAGGTTTTTGTTTATTTAACCGGCAAATCCACCTCCAAAACCGTTGCCGAAGTTTTGTTGGCCACCAGCATAGTTTCCGAAGCCACCGGCGCTGCCGCCACCAGATCCGAAGCCACTGCTTCCGCCCATCGCGTGCCCAGATGAGTGTTGGGCACTGGTGATCTAAACATGTTCATGAGACAGAGTGAAAACCCCAACTATAACTTTTTTTCTGATGATATTCATTCATTATTTTGTTATTCTATATTTGAGCCTAAATAAATTAGTGCTGGTTGGTAGTTTGTATTCACACGTTTCGACTTGTAAAATGTGAACTTACAAGGATTGTTTAAAAGAGCAACACACAAGTTTCTTGCTTATTCTTCTTGTGATGACACAGCTTTCCGAATAAGCGGTAGATTTAAAAAAATGTTGACTATTGCTAAGTGCTTAAATTAAGTTTATTTGAATAAATGATTTTCTATTCTATTCTATTCTATTCATTATTTAAAAGTCGCCTGTTGTCGGTGCAGCTCTTGCAATTTACGATGATTTTTCAGCAATCTCTTTAGTTGTTGATTGACATATGATATAAAACAAAAATAAGACGTAAACTTGGACGATTTTTGCATCGTGCGAGGAATCGAACCCGCGACCATCGGACGTAAAGCGGTGTGCTAACTGCTAGACCTCAGTAACTGCTTGCCACTTTATTTTTATAATATGAACTAGCTACTCGCCCTGGCTTCCCACGGATGTATATGTATTATATATATAAACCATTTTCTTGAATCACTCTATCTATTAAAGAAAACCACTTCAAAATCCGTTGCGTAGTTTTAAAGATTTAAGCATACATAAGGACATACAGCGACAGCGACTTTGTTTTATACTATGTAATAAAGCTAAATATATAAAATAAAATATTGTTAAATGAATTACCTGAGTGAATTGACTATCATCATGTCCAGTATTGAATCCACCCTGGTGACCTCCTGCTTGGAAACCTTGATTGCCGAAACCCTGGGAGCCCTGTCCAAAACCAGAACTGCCGAACTGGCCGCCGCTTTGGAATCCCCCGCCAACAGGCAGTACACCTCCCCCAATGGCACCTGGCAGGATGCCTCCCCCAACACCAGCTCCTCCAATACCGCCTCCTCCAATACCGCCTCCAAGCAATGGGCCGCCAACCCCGAATGGCTTTGCGTTCACTGCCAAAGCGCAGCCCAGAATAGCGACAACCTGGGGGGAAATGGGATTGGGGAATATAGACTGATGATCTTATTTCTAGCAGGTTTTATTCTCAGCAGGTTGACTTCCATGCGGTTTCCTCTGGAAACTATCGCGATAAATTCTTGCTGAATTTGTCATGATGGGCTAACCGACCTGACCTCATGCTCATCTAAACATCCTCCAGTGGTGCCCCGCCAGTGTAAACCGTTAGCGTAGGCCGGTGCACCATTCCATTATCATCCATAAAAAAAATAGGGACAACCTGAAAGAAACGACGTTTAGTGGAGATGGAATGAATGAATGAGTATGGAGATCAAATGAATAAGTAACCCTGGACAAATATTTTTTTACTTAGTTAATAATTAATTATACTTCAATACTAGCTGTTACCCAGGACTTCGTCTTATTGATTTTTTTATTAAAGTAAATAGAAGTTCTGAAATAAAAGTATAAAAAAAGTTAGTCACACTTTTTTTTTAAATTCAAAAATTTTTTCAAATTCAAACTTTTTGTAATAGTCATTTTTATTGTTCTACTAGCTTTTGCCTTCGCTCGCGTTAATTTAAATCCTTTCTTAGGGGATGCCTACGTCATAGTAGCTTTATGCATGTAAAGTCTCAGCCCGATCGATTTGAAATTGACAAACTTTCATACAAACTTTCATCCCCTATTTTATCCCCTTGGGGGTAGAATTAATCAAAATCCTTTCTTAACGGTTGCCTACGTCATAACATCTACCTGCATACCAAATTTCAGCCCGATCCGTCCAGTGGTTTGTACTGTCCGTTGATAGATCACTATGTCAGTCACCTTTGAGTTATATATATTTAGATTAGTTAGGTGTATTAGATGTATTAACAACTAAGAGTCGGCTACAAAACTAATAGCAAATAATAAAACGTGTTAATAATTAAGTTAACATAATATACTGTCAGAACTTCGGTCTAAAAGTGTTTATTTGTACAAGAAAATACGTTCTACAAAAGTATGCGTCATCGCTGCTAGTACACAGGTGGCGGTAACTTTTTAAGTCAATAAAGCAATAAAGTGAGTGCTGCCGTAAAATATGTCTGCAGTACTTAAATTTAAACTTTCGCATTTACAATGTTTAATAATTTTTTTTACATATTTAATAGTGCAACCTACTAGCAGTCCAGGATCTGTGGGGTGGAGGGCACATCAGGCTCATGCCCCAGGCGGCAAGTTCTGGGATCAGCAAATTAGAACTTGGCAGATGATTACACGTCATCATTGTTATCATTGCCTTGCCTTTATCCCATTATTTGTGGTCTCCGAATGTCATTCTCTTCCACTGATCTCTATCAGCCGTTATATCTGAGCATACACTCCTTTTATATCCTCTTTCACACAGTCCATCCATCTTTTTTTTGGGCGTGCCCTCCCTTTCCATACATCCACGTTCATATTACACAATTTCTTTAAGACATGATCCTCCTTCTTCCTTCGCATAACAAGCCCATACGACACAAAAACGATTTACAACCCATATCAAAATTAAAAATATATAATTCTGGCCCCTATTCTATGGCAATAAAAATATATATAATAACTAGCTGTCCCCGAAAAAGTTGTTTTGCCTTAAAATAAAAATGAAAAATTTAGGGGTGGACCTAACATTTAGGGGGATGAAAAATAGATGTTGACCGATTCTCAGACCTACTCAATACGCTCACAAAATTTCATGAGAATCGGTCAAGCCGTTTCGGAGGAGTATGGGAACGAAAACTGTGACACGAGAATTTTATATATAAGATAAATTACCTAATATTATAAAAAATAAGAATAAATATAATAAATGTATTATCCAATTAAAACTAATGTGGACAAATAAAGCTTATTACAGAATTGAAGAATACTTGCAAGATATTGGTTAGTATAATATTTAAAACGTACGCATCTTCCACGTTGCAGTGCCTAAAAGGTGCGTGTTATGTGTGTGAATTAATTTATTGTATACCGTAATTTTGTAAAGCAACGTAAATAAATAAATAAATAAAACCAGCTTTTTTAAGCATCCGGCCCATCTGATGGTAAATGGATTACCGTAGTCTATGAAATTTATATTTTTTTTAACTCATCAGAATAACATATGATCGTTCTAAGTATGAGTCTTACAGGAATTAATTAATAAGAATTTAGGTACTGTATTAGACTTATTAGAAATTTGTAACTTACCAAAATCTTCATTGCCATTGCTATCACAAAATCCAACAACTGAATGATTGGACACAACAAAGACAAATTCTTTTATACTTGGTTAATTATTACTTGTATTTATCGCACAGTTAAGTGCTATTCAATATCAAATGATTCATTAACGATTTGGGTTTTATAACCACATTACGGTTATACGTAATGGCTCGTTTGAAAAATTTGTTATACGAACAATATGTACGTAGAGAAAACCTAATTATCTGTAGATATTCGTAGAACCAATTCATAAATGTGCTGTTTCCATTTTCTAATGAATTCAATTCCTTTTATTAATCACTAGCTGTACCTGCGAATACGTCCACGTGGGATTTAACTTTATTTTTCTAAATTTCTGATCTTAATTCTGGACAGACATTGTTATTACTTAATTTTGGACATTTAATAACTTAAATAATTATGACATTAGTTGTTAACATTTTGTTCCCGCACACTTTCAAGACTATTGAACACAATCTACTACTAACTGCATAAAGTTGCTATTTAAATGTTCATAGTCGTATTAGATTTGTTTGTACTCACTCACTTTTTCTTCTTCTACAAAAATCGATAGGTCTCCTCAAAAATTGTCAAAATTAATCATTAAATGACCTTTAATGATAATTTTGACAATTTTTGATGAAAAACATTGTTTTGCCTTAAAATAAAAATAAAAAATTTAGGCGTGGCCTACCCCTAACATTTAGGGGGATGAAAAATAGCTGTTGGCCGATTCTCAGACCTACTCAATACGCTCACAAAATTTCATGAGAATCGGTCAAGCCGTTTCGGAGGAGTATGGGAACGAAAACTGTGACACGAGAATATTATATGTAAGATATATTTTATATATACATATATATAAATGTAATTATCATATAAAAAGGTGCGTTATGTACAACAGGGAAACAGTGAATTTACCCTGACGTATTTGTATATTGTACGTAAGGAAGGGAGACAGTGAATTTACTGCGACATAGCCTTCAGCAATGGCTCGTTTAGATATTAAATTCCCAGCATTATGAGAATAAATGCAGCTGCGGTATGCAGACGTTCAGAGAGATTGTTTATTGAAAGATATAACTAGAAGAAAACGTTTTATATCTCTATAACACAGGTATTTTGAAACAAATATTCCACTTTGTACATTGAAAGAATATTCTAGATACGCAAGAAGTCTAATTTATTTTTCTGAAATAGGAGTAACTGAACTCACGACCCATGCAGTAACAACCTAAATATATATAACTCAAAGGTGACTGACGTAGTGATCTATCAACGCACAGCCCAAACCACTGGACGGATCAGGATGAAATTTGGCATGCAGGTAGATGTTATCACGTAGGCATCCGCTAAGAAAGGGTTTTGAATAATTCTACCCCGAAGGGGATAAAATAGGGGATGAAAGTATGTATGACACTTTGTCAATTTTAAACCGATTGGGCTGAGACTTTGCATGCATAAAGCTACTATAACGTAGCCATCCCCTAAGAAAGGATTTTGATAAATTCCAAGGGGATAAATTAACGCGATCGTAGCCGCAGGCAAAAGTTAGTTGCTTATATATATGAAGTAGCATCGACAAAAGAAGAAATAAAGAAAGATATATATATAAATAAATAATGATATTAATATAATTGATATATGCAAGAGTTTTGACGACCTCGGTGGTCTAGCGGTGTAGCACACCAGCTTACTTCCGACGGTCGCTGGTTCGATTCCTCGCACGGCACAAACATTTATATTCTTGAGTATGAATGTTTATATATGTCTGGGTGTTCATATCAGTAAACGCACACATAACTTTAACTAGCCTAATTTGGGTTTAGATGGTGCTGTGTGAATTGTCCTGAGATTATTATTATTATTATTACTAGGTACTCGCTCGGGCTACGCACGGATGTACATGTATTATATATAAACCTTCCTCTTAAAACACTCTATCTATTAAAAAAAACCGCTTCAAAATCCGTTGCGTAGTTTTAAAGATTTCAGCATACATAGAGACGGACAGACAGCGACAGAGACTTTGTTTTATACTATGTAATGATAATAAAAAAATAAGTGCATACAAAAAAAGTGTTTAAATGTTTTTGAAGACACATTTAGTATTAAGTATTTCCGTTTTGATAGACCTATCACGTAACTCAGTAACTACAATAGAATAGGGCACACGTGCTCGTCGCAAACATTTGGAAGTTTCCACAAGACATTCGAGCTTAAAGTCCCATGAAACTATTATTGAGGAGCAGTAACTTCACATGACCCGAATCGACGAAGTTGCAAGTCGAAGTGTCAAAGTAGGGAGATATAGTAATTTGGTACTTCGTGTCCCAACTTGACAGTTTGATATGTCTCTATTTTATGGGAAATACATAAATATATAAAAGTCTACTTTAGCAATTGTTATGACTGGGTACTGTGTAAGGTATGGTTGAAGGCAATATTTAACTAACTAACGAAATAGTCCTCACGGATGAGACAATATACATAAGAACACACGTACGCGCACACACACATCCACATATATACACATACACATAAATACACACACACATAAATACGCACACGCATAAATATACACCTATGTGCACATGTGTGCGTATTTATTACACACTTAAACATTAAAAATGTAAAGTAATAATAAAATTATTTAAAAGAGCAACACGCAAGTTTCTCGCTCGTTCTTCTTGTGATGAGACAGCGGTCCGAATGAGCGGTAGATAAAAAAAATGTAATGACTATTCAAAAGTGCTTCAATGTAAGTTTAACGATTTTCTATTCTCTTCTATTCGTTTGTTACATAACATTTCCTGTACAAATATCACAAACCATCACATAGCACAAAATTTAAATATAAATTTAATGTTATTTAAAAATTCAACAGTTTTAAATAAAACAAAATATGGTTGTTTTATTGCGGTTAAATACAATTGCTCTCGCGCTGTTTAACGCATTTATTTTACAATTTTCAATATTCAAAAGTGCTTCAATGTAAGTTTATTTGAATAAATAATTTTCTATTCTGTTCTATTCTATTCTGTTATTTGTCTGGTATGCAAATCTAAGCAAATTATAAAAACGCTTTGTATTTCAAGAACAGAATATTTTTACCGGTCCCCACTCCATGTTTTATCAAGAAAATTAAATAAGAATCTAGTTAATTACGGACCGTCTTTATATAAACCTTTTTCGGGAAACTCTTTATATACAAATTGCATAATTTAATATTTGATATTTATTTATTCAGTAACAATTTATATTGTGTTTGAATTTATACAATTTTTGCTGCTAAGAAATTCATCAACACTGTAAAATGATTGCTCCAATAGAAAACAACGCAACCTCCTCCTAAAAAGCTTACAATTATGCATTTTGTTTAAACTATTGGGCAAAGAGTTGTAAAGCTTTACTGCTTGGAAACCCTCACCATGCTTCACAATATTAAGGGTAGGTTTTATAATGTTAGGGTTGTAGGCTACCAACCTCCTTGCATAAACTAGCCATATAACACAGACACATTTTAATAAAAAGTATATTGTCAAAAATGTAAAATTCATTCGCTTGCAAATTACTGATCTAAATGATTTGTTAAATTAATTATTATTTGTTATTTTTAATTCTGATATTATATACACCGTCATATATTCAATCTTTTATTAATATCACTCCTGTATATCAACACGCCAACCTAACCTCAGGGTAATCCATTCTGCGAGTACTTTCCCTTATGTCTCAATTCTCCCTGGTCTCACTACCAACAATACTTTTTACAAAATCTGGTAATAGCACCAATATGTATAAGCATGGTACAGTCAAAATTCTGTATTCTTTAAAATATAATGTCGAGAGATAAAGAGGAAAGTTTTATAAATTTATGAATTCTGTATCTGTACATCAGTTTTGTGTTTTATTTATATTTTAGTTGTGTGTTAGAAATACCCCCTCTGATCGATCCCCCGTCCAATTCAAACGGGGATCGAAATTACGACGGCCTGAGCCGAGGTTCGAACCCCTAGTGGTGCCCTCAGACTAAAGTCGTATCCGTCAGGCAGAAGCTGGCCTTCAGCCGCTCCATAAGTCCTTCCGCCATCTGCACTCGCCCCCTATCGTCCGGTGAAGCTGTAAAGGCCAGCTGCGGCCAACAGCATTAGAGTAATCCGAAAACAAAAATTGACTGTTTTTGTTAACTGTTCTTAATGTTTTACTTAATAATGAATCTTATCTATATTTGTACATTAGTGTAATAAAGACGGATGTAATGAATTCTTAACTAATTGATTGACTCATCACAAATTTGCTTATAAATTTCTAACTAGCTTTCTTGGAAATATAAATAATCATCGTTAAAATAAACTCAATACAAGCGCTTTTGAATAGTCATATTTTTATTCTACCACTCATTCGGAACGCAGACAATTCTTACACATTCTTCTTGTGATGACACAAGAAGAATGTGCAAGAAACTTGTGTGTTACTCTTTTGAATAGACGTTTTTTGATGACAATAAAATACCAAAGTCTTCTATATCTGCCTGAAGAAAGATTTAAATGTCATATAAAACACTTCCTTTGTAAAAAAGCATATTATAAAATTTAAGAGTTCGTTAATGATATTAATGTTTTTGTAGAAAAACTTAATAAACATAGCGCTCATAATATTATCTGATTGCACTTATGAGTGTATAGCGGTTTCTATGTTGATTATCACATGTATACTTGTTATTGTGCAATTATTTATATAAAAAAACATCTATTCAAAAGACCCAACATACAAGCTTCTCGCTCGTTCTTCTTGTGATGAGACAGCTTTTCGAATGAGCGGTAGATTAAAAAAAATGTGATGACTATTCAAAAGTGCTTCCATGTAAGTTTAACGATTTTCTATTCTATTCTATTCGTTTGTTACATAACATTTCCTGTAAATACAAACTATCACATAGCACAAAATTTAAATATAAATTTAATGTTATTTAAAAATTCAACAGTTGTAAATAAAACAAA